TGCCAGCATGTTGACAGCATGTAGGAGGCAAACGTAGCATGTTATATTCCGTCACATGTTTGTACACACGTTTTCTTAATTAGTCTCATACGGCTTCGTCTTAAGTAGCCATTTACAACACCTTATATGGAGATCCTACACTGCGACCTCATATGATACTAGGGAGAATGAATAAGTATTGGTGTAGTCATTTTGCATTTTCAAGGATCGTGCAAAATATGCTAGTTACACGCTTGCGCATACACACAAAGCCACTCACTTATTGCCTTATGTCCAGGCTTATTTGGTACCCTGGTACAACGACGTATTTAAGCCTCGGTCACAACCCGCCGTACGCGCAACTGCGTGATGCCTATGTTCAACCGTTCACGGTCAGACGTTGCGTGCAAACCACATACTTACACCTTGCGCAACATCGTACGTTACTTTGGAAGGACTGGCATGAACAGTATGTCTTTCTTTCTTTCTTTCTTTCTATCTATCTTTCTTTCTTTCTTTCTTTCTTTCTTTCTTTCTTTCTTTCTTTCTTTCTTTCTTTCTTTCTTTCTTTCAAGGTAGTGTTAACTGGTATTAGATAAACCACATATACAAACGTGGAGACAAACATGAAATAAGAAATCTACTATAAATACAAGACCTGAAATAAAGATACCATATTAACTGGTTACCAGGCACAGTACTATAATGTCAACGCTCTCCTGTAGTACGTCTAAACTGCAATGAACAATATCAAACTATATGTGTATAAAATATTACACAAAACAATCCTTCTTTTTTGAACAAACAAATGTTTAATGTAAGTTCTTTCCATAAATTTGAGGCCATGTTGGCCTTTCCATTTCTGATCACGGAATAGTCACGCCGCATTCGTACCATTTCCCATAGAAGTAGGCGCTGCGCCCAGCTCCGATAGGACCGTACGTGAAACTCTCACCTCGATCTGACCGCCGGAAACCTGAAAAAATGCATATAAGACGGAGTAAGAGATACACAGCACGCTGAGACAAAAAAGTGCAATAAATGTGTAAATCGTTTCATCTGAACAGGTGAAAATCTATTCTTATAACAAATTTCTGGACCTGCACCTTAAAAACGAAGGCCAAGCACTCTCCTAATCTGTCGACATGTTTCCTTGCAAAAGCCAGGAAGCAGAGAGAACGCAACATACATATCGGTATAGCTAATTATCTAGGCTCTACATATCTGCAAACAAGTCACAAGCCCTCCATTGTATACTACGACATAGACTGTAAAATAATACAAATGATTGTAAGACAAGTCAAAATTGCACGGTTTCGTGCTATAGGATGCACTAACCTTCCCCGTAGCAACTCCCGAAGAAGCCGTCAACCCTGACGGTCGCATCCTCCGCCGCGCCCGCCAGTTCGCAGTGATCCTGCCCGCTCCCGCTGCCGTCTGCGATGTTACGGAACGTCCCGGTCAGGTCGTCGCTCAGGAGGATCTTGTAGCGCGTGGGCGAACACAGGACGGCGCCGACCACGAGCGGTTTGCCCTCGAAGGTGTAGCCAGTGGACTTGACGTATCGATCACCGTGGCAGGTGGTGCAGCTGTCGTCATACGAGAAGTCGTACGGCTGCCAGGTGTCGGTAACATCTGGAATGTATGTGATGATTGGGATTTGATTTGAACGGTAGTGTTGAGCATACTGCATTTTTGTATATGGAATACTAGAGTCATAGATGGCCACTTTAGTTTTACAAAACATATTGTTTTTACTCAGTTTCTTCCTCCTCCTCTTCTGTTCCAAACACTAACCTCTGACGTCGACCTGGCCAACGACATGATTTGTTGACGTCTGCCACCATGGTGACTGGTGTTGGGTTACATAATGTTGCAATTTCATGGTCTGATCTACTCCTGCCACCATATACTCGTAGTCACGTTACATGTATAAGAATTAACAGGGCAGACCATGTTCGAAGGTAAATATTATGCATTTGCTTTGCAAATGTTACTCCTCTAGTTTAATAACGCTATAGATTCATCAAGCTCCTTTCTATACACATGTAAAGTGTTCTTCTTCGTATTAAAAACAAAAACACGTTCAAATTCAGTCAGATGACGTAAAATTTGACCCAGAAGACGCTTTAAAAGAGATATTCCGACTTCTCGAATGTGTGTGTGTATGTGTTTAGTGTAATAGTCATCGTTCAATAGTATTTGCACATATGTTCGTACAACTATCCTTCTCACGCCACAGAGACCCCACCCCCTCGCTTCACATTTAATGTACATACTGAAATATTTAAACGTGTACGAGTAGACAGTAAAGGGGCGATATGTAACATTTTAAAAATTGAAGAAATATTTTAATTTGAAAATCTTAGCGTGATTGTAACTTACTTCCCGCCTTTCAACAGTCGTGTGCAGTTGTCTCATTTTTAACGTCTATGGCACTAAAACAGTCCACACAAGGCTCTTATAACTACCCGAATGTAAACAAACATGGCTGACAGCTGTGTTTCAAAACCCAGAGTAGATTCACAACAACCTGACCAGGTAATATAATAATTTCTGAATGAAAGTATCACCTATATCTCACCTGGTGCGTACAGTGACTTGTTGCACGTCTGCAGGTCTTGTGTCAGCTGGTCCACCTGCATCTGCAGCTGCGCCACGTTGCTCTGCTCACCCTGCAGCTGCTGCAGGATGTTCGCCAGGCCTGTCAGCTGCTGGTGGTACACCTGAACCAACATGGCGTCCGCGCTGACAAAAAAATTCGTGGTAAAGAGAATTTTCAAACTTCAAACATCGTGAAATCAGCTTCGAAGTCGTTGAGACTGACTTGTGTTGATTTTAATGGCTCGGCTCTTTTATAAAAAAAAATGTAATTAAAATTAGAATACCACTAAACTTAAAGGTCAGAAGCTGCCATGCGACTGAACGGAAATGTTCTCATTTGCATTGAAATTCTATTGAACTTATTAAGAAATGATATCAAATTTTGGTAAATTACAAAATGAGAATTAACTGACTTAAAAACATTAACTTACTAGAATTTTTGACCAAACTCTTCATCAGAGTCTTCATCAGCGTTCTAGCCCAAGTGCGCAAGTGGTGTAAAGGCATTAAAAATCATGTGCCTCCAGCACTTGTCTGTGTCTACAGATTCGGTCGAAAATTCCGGTGAGTCAATTTCTTTGAGTTGGAGAACAGTTTATTTCTCATCATGAGTAAAGGTAATGTTCTTGTTCGTACCTGTCCTGGTGTAACTGTGCCAGTAACGCAGCCAGACCCAGAATGTCGTTCCTGATGTCGTTGAAGAACCCGGTCAGGAGTAGTTCTCTGTTAGTCTCCAGCACAGCCAGCTTAGCGGTCAGATTGTGGATGTCAGAAATCACCGACTGGATGTCAACAGCACTGGACGTCCTGCAAGACAGAACATTTATGAATAAGTTGATATAAGCATTCAAGGCACAAATATGTTTGTCAGTCGATTAAAATTAAAGTAATGTGTAGAAAGAAAATGTCATACAGTACGGTTTTCCTTTGGTCGCTGAGGAAGAAATATTGTCTACTTCGTCAGCGTACTTTGCTAAAATTGGCTCAAACCAAGACATCGCTAATACAGCCAGTAAAACTTTTAAGTATAACAATAAAATGTTCTCTCTAGAAAGATACTTGTACGGACACATATACAACGAATAACAGTCTTGAAAAGACAAGATTTTTTTTAGTTTCTCCAAAACACATTGCTGTGCCACAGACTGATTATAACCACCTGGTTACTGTACATAATGCTGAGGTCACATTTACAAGCCGGGGCCCGACCGGGCTGTTTACGTTAACGAAAAATAAACAATTCATATCGCGAATATGCACAGATATTGCTCATGATCAATTGATGCAAATAATTTAACCCTACCTAGACCGGGGGGGGGGGGTGCCCGCGGCAACTTTGATGTCACCTAGCGTCTGAACGGCTAGCCGTAGAACGACCAAACTTGGTGACTTTTCCTAAAATATTGTTGGCAACAATTCTCTATCATTGGAATAAGATAATGATTTTTTGTGTTGCCATGGCAACGGGTTTCTGACAGGCATTTTTTGCTAAATTTAGTACTTTTTGTTTAAACAATAGAATTTTATGGGTTTTATGTCAAGTTACTCATGGTTTCTAATATTAATAACATCCCATATAATTTTATGTAAATTTTATCATTAAATATGCATAATTTATGCTAATTTGATGACGTCATTGGCCAAAATCCAAGATGGCGGACCATATCATTAGATCAGGTATATACGGGTTATTTTCATTAAAATTTCATCAATACTTCCATTTCTTTTTACAAAAAAGGTTTGAATGAAGGTGTTTAGTATGTTTACAATGTATTTTAGGCTTTATCATGAAAAAAAACTATTTTTGAAAATTCAAGATTGATGATCCAAGATGGCGGATATCTTAAATATGCATGACGTCATTTTATGACGTCACCGGTGTTGCTATGGGCAACATAAGACTTAGTACACACTAATATTCTGTCATAAACACTTTTGGTAAAGTTATGTTGTATACCAGGGAGATTTTCAGGGAAAAACCTATTTAGACGGTTTTGGCCAATAAAATCACATTAATGACGTCATAATGACGTCATATTACGTCATAACGACATAAAAATTGTAGATATAAATTTTCACTAGTACACCATTCTCTGAAAATTTGGTGGTCATACGACATACCGTTCGCGAGTTCTTAGGGGGGGTCAAAAGAGCCCCCCCCCGGTCCCCCCATGTCAAAAAAAGCCCGGTCTAGGTAGGGTTAAATGTGTTTTGTTGTCTTTTATATCATACTTTTCGTTCACGAAAACTGCCTGGCCGGGCCCTGGCTTGGAAATGTGACCTCAGCATAAAAGAAAAGCATAAAAAGTGACAATATATCGATCAGTCGTTGCGCTTCAATATGATATAATATTCGGTAACTTATAATTTTATAACCTATTTTAGCATTTGATAAAGAGATAAATATCCCATCACTTATCAGCCACGTCCTGTACGAGACAGGTGAGGTTGCCCACGTCGTGCTGTAGGTGTGTTATCAGCTGGTACTTGGTGTCGTCTGAACAGGCGGCAGGAGAGGGCGCCATGACACCGGCACAGTCACAGCGGCCGGACCTGTCCTCCGAGCCGCTGGGTTCATAGTTGGTGTTACGGTGCCCGGACACCTGTACCAAAACGTTACGTGCAATTTTTTTAAGAATAATTAGGCCATGATGATTTGATTATATGGATGACATCCTCTGGGAAGCCCAAAACTAATGCGAGCGTGCGAATGAAGAAAAAGTTTGTCAAAAGTTGCCTTCATTATGAACAAATGTATGAGAGTATTATCTGGCGAATAATTGACTTCTCATTTTCATTTCCTCACATTTTCTTCTTTCCCTTTAGGAATTGATTCTGGCATTCTGCGACATTAGTATCGTTTTCCTTTTTGTTTTGCAATTTACGGCATATATTTCCTCATTTTCTAGCTGCGTACTGTACCCACGATGAAGTTGTTCGCTGTACATTAGTATCGAGATGTAATTTAAAAAAAAAAAACGAAACAGGCTGTTAAGTTTAAATGACGAAAGGAGAGGTTTTTATATTACCTCAGATCCTGCTACCACTGCCATGAACAGAAGGCAGGTCCCAGTCAGAACGCGAGCTGTACCCGGGGTACCCGTACCCGCCATGTTTGCAAGTTCACTGTTTGTGGTGAGGGCGAAGGAGCTGCTTTTAATATATAACACCTTAGGACAGCTGACCCCCGCATAATTTTAACAAAAGAGGTTTCCGTTTCCGGAAAGAGCTTCCGGATTCTTATTTGTTTGTTTTTCCCCCCTGTGAAGTACGCCGACATTTGTTTGCCCTCTTTTAGGACGGCTCAAAGAATGACATTATGATGCGTACGTATGATGACCTGTGCATGTGGTTTACATATCTGCTGTGTTTATCTTCCAAACACTGTGACAGCCTGATCGATGTTATTTGTCCTGCTGTTATCGATATCGGTGTAACCCGTACAAGGTAGCAGAACACAGTTTTTCGCCTATGGGGATTTCTATAGTTAAGGACCCAGAAGTGACTGACATCGACTCGGATAAAAATACAGTAGGGTACCATAGAAAAGCGCGAGAAACGAATATGTTCAAATATAGGGTACGATGTACAAAATAACAAAAAAGTACAAAAAGTTATCGTTTTTTTGACATTATGCCGACCTCTTTTAAATGGCCTCCTGCGGAGCGCACCGGAACTGCAGCCGACTCACCATGGCAGGCAGCGAAAAGGTCACGCGCATTTATACGCCGATCGAGCAGCCTTCCTAATCTCAATTATGCGATATCAAAGCCGACATATTATGGTACCATACGGTAACTTGTATGTCCCGGTGTCATCCACGTTAGGCTGTGTACAAGCGGTGCAAGCTGTTTGTCGCACTCATTTCTTATCCCTACGTCATCGTCGCGGAGGAATACTGTGTTCTGCTACCGTAATCACGCGCGTATTTTTCAGCGGATGTTACAATCTTAGCATACGTTTAGTGAACAAATGTGAAGTTTTATGATGGAATGTGGATAACAGTGCTAAACCAAGGAGGTCAGGCTCCGTGTAACCTAATTGGCTAAAACATATTGTACTTTGGCATACAACAAACAGCGCATACAAACATCTAGCATTATATTTCTGTTATTGATATCATGGGTCAAGCATATAGCGTATCAAACATCGGCCACATAATATACTTACCAGTATCCTCAGTAAACGTGAGACAAAAGGGACAAGACGAAGTTAACACCCCCTATAGTATCTGATCTTGGACTATTCCGTTGACCTCCTCCGAGTGCCAAAGTTCAAGGCCGCTACCGATACTTACAGCTAGCTGTTGTGCAGTACTAGTGAAGTTGTTGTTGTCACATGTTATAGGATATGAACTTGCAAACTGCAAAGGCTGACATAACTTTATCAAGAAGGAAACCGAGAACGCTTAGCGAGTCACAGTTAACTGTGCTGAAACCACGCATTGCTGGTTGGACGACTTGACCAAGGTACATGTATCGTAAAGTTTAGCGCGGCCCTCCCCATGTCTCCTTTGTTTGTTTGTTTGTTTGTACATAACGTTATACATGTACGCTGTAACAGTCATCAAAAGGATATAGACTAGATATAAGGGGACTACAGCCGGCGGCCATAAGTAAGCTTAAATGACATTCAAACAATAACTGACTGCATATTTATACAATGAGGCACTAATGTCTTAAGAGTTTGGTGATATGGTCTGTTACTTGATTGTGACAACTTTTACTTGTATTTGAAGGTCTGAAGTCTGTGAGAATGCAACACTTTAAAAGAGCGGTTTCACAAAACCTCAAACTACCCACCGGTGGGCCTATCGGCTGGCTGGTTAAGGTAGGTCAGTTATTGACTGATGACTGAGTTTATGTTACTTAACGTTATCTATAATTTATTACATAATTATTTATATATAAATTCCGTTTTTTTATGTTAGACTCACTAGATACATGTACTTATAATTGTATGGTTCCAACGTTAGATAAATGAAACAGATATTGTTGTCGTCGACCGCAATATGCATGTTTACCTTCTAAGAACATTTTTCTTATCATTATCGTCATAAGATTGTTATGCTATTAAGATTGTTAAACATTCCTTTTTTGCAGGAATTGATCTTTATGAGGACAAACGATGTAGTTGAGGTTCAGACAGCCAAACTTCTGAATATCCAACCGCACCACCGGGTGTTGGAAGTCGGGTTTGGACCGGGAGTCGGACTGAAGGAAGCCCTGGGTTACATCGGTAAAGGTGAGTTACATTACTTCTACGTTGTTGAATAGTATTAGGAGACAGCAAGTAATTTTTATGGATGACAACAGCGCTCGCATTAATTTTCGCCTGATTTTGGAAAGCAAAACAAGAAATTTTGTTGCCCTCTGACAGTGGTCAACATGCTGAAAATGGGCAAAAATGTCTGTTACCATGCCGCAACGTGGATATGGCAGATAAATATGAAAAAGACATGACAGAATTTACTTGCTGTGGTCTTGGTTCATTTTCTGGTACCCCTATTTACTCATCTGTGTCATTTGCATTTTAGATGCTGGATTCTTCGTTGTGCTGTTTGTATATTTGTAAACTGATATCGTACATCAGAGCCTGAGGTAGAAAACATTATAACCCTATGACTATGAGTTTGAGTTTAAACTTTAGCCATGCTGTTTATGCACATATAATACATGTATTAATTAGTTTCGTGCTAATACGTTACTAATGAAAACTTCATTGCAAGCTCTTGCCCGTATGCTAATTACAAGTACATGTAACATGAAAATAAAGGATGGACAACAGAATGGGTAACAATTACCAGTATAGTATGTGACTACTCTAACTTACTAAACACTAAATTCTAACTTATTAGTAATATATGTGTTTGATGCTACTTGTTTATTTCATTTTATTGCTTTTGCATCAAGGGAAATTCCCTTTACGTGCCCATATACTGCTGAAATATACTATGAAGACATCGCCTGTTATAAATGTATTTTCAGATGGCCCGGGTAAGGTGTATGGTCTTGAGTTGTCTCCACAGATGGTGCATGTCGCCACCAAGCGACTCCAACCGTACATTGCATCCGGCCAGCTACAGCTCACCCTCGGAGATGTCATGAAACTTCCCTATCCTGACAACTCCATGGACGGAATCTTCCACGTCAACTGCTTCTACTTCTGGGACGACCTTCACCAGGGCTGCAGGGAGCTGTACCGCGTTCTGTCGCCAGGGGGCAGTGTAGCAACCGCCATGAACAGGACTGTCGTAGAGAAGTCTGTTGAAAGAGGGCTCAATTCGTACGCCCGTCATACTGACCCACAAGAATACATGAAGGCCCTTGAGAAGGCAGGGTTCGTGGGATTTAGGGAGGAGGAAATTGGAGAAGGAAAGAACAAAATGTACGGTTACACTGCGAGTAAGGAAGGCAAGGACAGCTCACCATGATGACAGGAAAGGTTATTATATTAAAGAACGAACCCAGAATTTTTTTCTTTAATACGGAGGTCATTTGCATTATTAATGACGAAGTGTTGAAATGAAACATTGCCAACGTATAGGAGGGTTTAAACCGGCATAAATACAATAGAGGGGCAAATTTAGAATTCATTAAATATAACTATCGAATTCAGAAATATCGTATGCAGAAAAAGTCTACGACTGAATCTTCTACGTCAACTGTGACTTTTTCTGGGACGATTTGGCCAGTACTATGAACAGTAAAATTGAAAACCTGTACGTTCTTTAGTGTCTTTTCTACGCCTAAAATATGGTGAAATAAAATTATAAACCGATGTACACAGAGAAAATTTTCTTCTCACATAAATATGTGTTAATAGTCTTTTCTGAAGCCCCATTGACTTATTTCTGATCACGGAATAGTCACACCGCTTTTCAAAAGTACACGTAGGCGCTGCAAATTTCCGTCTCGTAAACGGTCGTCCCCTTTTGATGCCATATCGCTGACTGGTCGATGCCATACCCGAGCGTATCATAATTTTTTTAGGTCCAAAAACGTATAAAACGTAATGCTTAATATATGCTATCAAAAGCAACATTCGTATTGCAAATGTAAAGTTGGATCAAGCTCGGATTCGAACCCGGGTCAGAAGACTGGCATCAACCGTATCAAAAGGCGACGACCGTTTACGAGACGGAAATTAACGTAGGCGCTGTGCCCAATACCGATTGAACCGAACGTGAAGTTAGCATATCCAGGACAAAAGATACAAAATCCGGAAGTTGCAGTACCAAGGTCAACCACCAGGAGGCCCACGTTGGACCTTCACTTTGAGAGAAAGAAAACAGAAACAATACCTTTGTGTTTCACAGAACTAATTAAACAACACTATTCTAATAGAATTGTATCTTGCGGTCAGTATGTTATAAGCATGTGTTGTTGTTTTTTTTTTTTTTTAATGAGAGATGTCATTCGACGACATGCATATAACACGTTACCTGTGAAAATGACCCTCACCCCCACTGAATGTTTGGAACATTCCTATGACCTATTTTACGAGCCGGCCATAACGTTATGCCGTCTGACGGCCATAGCGAAGTTGTGTCGTCTCGATACGCTATCCACACGGTGGACTAAGAACCACAGTAAGTATATTATTACGGTGATGGTTTCGGTTACGGTTACAGGTCCGGTACATAGGATGTGGCATAACGTTAGGAAGTGGCACGAATCACAATAGGGGGAGGGGCGGGGCGGTATTATTGGAGCGAGCATAAGAATCAACAAGTTAAGTCCCAGGTTTTGTATGATAACGGTTTTTGAAATGATTAAATCAAGAAAAGGCCCCAATAACACCTCTATTCAGTTTTATTATCGTTGATGAAAAGGGTGTTGAATCGAAGGATAGTTATTTTACGGCACTATCGTTGTGGACAAAAATTAACTTGAAAAGTACACATTCAAGCCAGTAACACTGCTTCCTTGGCCTATATACACACCTTTTATATCCGCTGTTTATCGTCTGTAGTGAGCTCGCCATGCAGCATTTTAAGGAGGCGGTTTCGAGACATATGAGACAGCCGTCCTCGGGACCTGTAGGCTGGCTTGTTCAGGTGCGGTGCCAGATTTTTATTTTTTCCTTTTATGATTCTATTGGGGATAGTTTAAAGGTTAACGGCGAATGATATAGAATATAAAACCCATTGTGACAATTTTTGTCTTGTAGTAGCAAGCGTTCTTGACTTTTCAATCTAGAAAATGTTGCTTTTGGTTGTTTTATATATACACGTTATTACTGACACAGAGGTACAGATTCATAAAACATAATCCTTTGGAACTTTCATTTTCTTCGTCAGAGATTCCTTGAGAAGAGAAACGATGGTCTTGAAAGACACGCGGCAAAACTGCTGAACATCAAACCGCATCATAACGTACTGGAGGTCGGTTTTGGTCCTGGGCTTGGACTGAAGCACGCTTTGAACTACATGGGATCGGGTAAGGACGGTCCTAGCCTGGGTGCCATCCGATTTGTGTAACGTTAACGGCCGGCAACCCTGGCAAGATTTTTACCGTTACAAATCGGATGTTACCCAGGCTAAGATGGTCCAGGTTTAATATCAAACAGGTTTGCATGATACAATTTCAATGTAAACAAGATTTCAAGCTTGAAGTAGATATAGACTGACTTGATAATGTGTGTGTGTGTTTGTGTGTGTGTGCGTGTCTGTGTGTGTTTGTGTGTGTGTGCGTGTCTGTGTGTGTGTGTGTGTGTGTGTGTGTGTGTGTGTGTGTGTGTGTGTGTGTGTGTGTGTGTGTGTGTGTGTGTGTGTGTGTGTGTGTGTGTGTGTCTGTGTGTGTCTGTGTTTATGTGTGTAATTAATGATTTTCCTCCAATTCAGACGGACCCGGTATAGTCTATGGACTGGACATATCTCCGCAGATAGTAGGAGTCGCCACCAAGCGGTTTCAATCCCACATTGCAGCTGGAAAGCTTCAAGTCACCCTCGGAAGTGTTTCGAACCTCCCGTACGTCGACAGGTCTATGGACGGGATATTCCACGTCAACTGCTACTATTTCTGGGACGACCTGCACCAAGGCTGTGCGGAGCTGTTCCGCGTACTGTCGCCAGGCGGCGTTATGGTCGCTACTATGAAGAAGGAGAGGGTGCAGCTGTTGGTTGACAGAGGTTACAACGAGTACGCCCATAAACTCAACCCTGACGGATACATGGCGGCGCTGGAGCAGACTGGGTTCATAGGAGTGGAGCTAGAGCACCTCGGAAAAGGACAGAAAACATTTGAGGCAATATTTGCCTATAAGGAGGGGGCAAGGCAGTAACAGCATAGGAATAAAGAAATAAAGCAATGGAATGTTAAAAGCCATGTGTCTGTTTGTTTAATTGTTTGTTTGTTTGTTTGTTTGTTTATTCATCTGCTTGCTTCATTCTCTCAAAAATGGACATCTACATTGAGACAGTCGTACGTACGTTGATCGTACGTACGACTTTCACAATGTAGATGTCAATTTTTGTTACATGTCTGGATCATTTTAATGCGGTTTACAGAGCCTTTAGCAAGTTCCCGCTATTCAGGAAGACCATCAGACTCTGTTTACCAGGTAACATAACCACCCTTAAAATAAATCAAAAGGTCTTTCCTGGTAGCTTTGCGGCCCGTCTTCGTTTAGCCAGACAATTACACTTTCTATATTTGGAGATTGCTGCCTGGGTGCATTCCATAGGGCAGAACGTCACCGTTTGGGCAACTTTCCCAGATAAACTCTTGGTGTAGTTGTAGTATCCATGCCAGGGATGCCAAAACTACGGTTGCCTGGCGGATTTAAATCTGCTTTAGCTATCAAGATAACACTCACTTAAGATAATGAGAAGTCTTCTATATATACAGGAAGTTTCTCTATGATGATCTGTGCATCTAACGATTAAGTAGATATCGAAGTCGGGACTATTTGACAGATTTTAGAAAAATATGTGAATATCACTGGCCTTTTTTTATTTTTACTTCTCGCAATATACTCCATTCAGATCGTTGATTTTCGTTTTCAAAAAAGATGCAAATTACACGAAAAGATACAGTTTTTGCCGGTTCATTTATTATCAGCCCTCACCCCACCGCAACATTTCTGAAAAGGCCCTAATTATCACTTTGCCGTGACCTATGGCCAGTAAACACTAAACGTTATGACAAACCGACAGCGACAAGCCCAGATAAGCTCCCTTGTTATGTCAACATTTCCCAGTTCAGCCGTTCTCAGTTTTCCAGAGAGTCCAGTTTTGGAGGCACTGCGCAAAAATGATCGCCTACACTGTTGTGATACTTCTCGTGGCTTCCACGTTCAGTGAGTACATATATTTTTACATCATATATTCTAATGTGTTTAACATTGTTGGAAATGGTATACGTAGGTTGGTGCGGTCGCGGGGCTCTTCTTTTAGTTTCCTGTATGTAATTTTCTTACTTTTCTTCTGGGAACTCTATCTTTGCCTGAAACGCGGGACATGTCTTTTTTCAGTGAAGTGGCATTGTTTCTGAAATGCTTGGTAGGATCCCGTGCTATGTCTTTTTGTGGGCGCAAGTACTTTTGTTGTTTTTACGTTGTCAAGCTATATTTATGTGACATGATAAAATGATAAGGAAATCGCTGAAACATTGGAATTTGGAGTTTTGATTTTGTGTTTTTTGTTTAGGACGTGTGATGATTACTTTTGTTTTTATGTCACTTGTGGCCCCAAACAAAATGCTTCGGTCACAATTTATCTCTTTTTAAGCAATACAAATGAAAAAGGACGTTCAGCAATAGTTATAAGAAATGTTCAAATGTAATTTGTCAAAACACGAAAATATCAAATCGTCTGAGGAACTTGAATTGTTTCAAGCAAATACGAATGCCCCTCCCCCCAGTTCCCACCAACCTCAAGCCCCTCTTGCTTTATTTGGCGGTTGCCAGCATTCCACGGAAATGGTGTTTAAAGTTCAACAGACAATGGAATGTTGCCGTTGGCAGGACTTGTAATGAAATCTCCATGCTGTTATGCATGGTTAACTAACTCTTCTGACGCACCTAGCGGTCGAACTGCCAGGTGCAGGTCAACAGCAAGTTCCGAGATTACTTTGGTATTCCAAAGCTATTCCGCTGCTTTTGTATTACCAGCGGCACTGGAGTCCTATAAAAACTGCTCACTTTGTCATTGAATAAGAAGTTATCTCTGATTTTCCCTTTGAAATCCTTCCAAATTCCCCGGAAATGCCATTTCAGAAGGTTCAATTTTTCAAACGCTCGCTGGTCCCTCAAACAGTAGGAGGAGCCCGCCCCCCCTCCCCCCAGCAAAATCCTGGCTACGGACATTCCTTTGTTTGTTCTTTGTAAAATGTTTAATGGTAAATGTTACCGTTGAAGGTACGGCAGATGCCCTGAACTGTCTGGAGTGCACCAGTACGGACGAGACCTCGCTCTGTGCCAGTGATCCGTGGAACGGTGCGGAGACATCTGCCTGTCCTGAAGATTATAACAGGTGTATGGTGAGTTCAACTGTTTTTCTTCTTTGTATTTTTTTGTACTTTTCTGGATATTCACAATAGATATTCGCACTTGGAGACTTTGACATTTTAATGGATAGCAAGAATAAGCCATCTACATTAGGGCACACCAACCTTCTCTCTATCGGGACGGGGGGCGTTACCGACTTCCGACGAACTTTGACCCAGTGCAAAAAAAATCAGATGTCTACAGCACTTTGGTCAGATTGCTGATGAAGACCGAGAAATTCGGACGAAAGTTTCGGTGAGTCAAATTCTTATGAGTTAATTGGAGAACAGTTTGATTTTTACTGTGTAAATTACTAACTCAGATGAACTTTCATGCTAGCAGGAATAACGGTTTTGTTGTTTCCTTCGTAGACCGTCAGACTGGACCTGAACGGCAACTTGACGATCTCTCGGGCATGCGCCACCTCTGAGAACTGCTCGGCCCCGAACCCGTGTTGGGGAGTGATCGGGTCCTGCTCGGTCAACAGGCAGCTCTACTGCTGTAACACCGACGTCTGCAACGACCATCTCACGCGACCAATCACAGACTCGGCTGAGGAGAGCCCGACGACGTCATCACCAACTCAAACCCTGATTGGCGGTGATATGGATGTTGCAACGACCAGTCTCCCACCCTCTGGAGTGACAGTCACCGGAGGAGGAGCTTACAGCAGCTTTGGCGGAGTCTTGTCCTTTTTGCTACCAGCTGTTGCCCTTTTCATCACGAACCGTGACACTTAACTTTTGCCGGCCACTCCATGAGAATATTAATTAGTTTGTGCTGTGTATATATAATCAATTCGTTTTTACAGTATAATTGGACCTGAAGACACTAGAAATGTTTGTTGCCACCCTAAATGGGGTGGACATGTGTCGTTACGACAAATGGCGAAGGCTATGTTTGCTTTTAATAGAAACACTACTTGAGAATCATTATAACTAATCCCTTCTTTCCTTCATGACCTATCCATCCTTCTGTCCCTACCTAATACACTTCCTTCCTTCCTTCCTTCCTTCCTTCCTTCTTTCCTTCCTTCCTTCCTTCCTTCCTAGCTTGGAACACTGGGATAGAAAAATAGAGGTGATCTGAATGACTGTATACTTATACTCTCCAAGCAGAGGTTTAGGCTTCGGCTTATTTTTGACGTGTTTTAGGCGTTTTTGTCGAGCTCTCGTTTTTGTACTATCTTTTTTTTCGCCAGCCAAATTAAACTTATATAAATATAAGACTATATGTACTGCCTGGCCAATTTGATACCGTATGGCAGCCACCGAAAGATCTGTTTGAAGATTAGTATGCTGGCCGCATACATGTGCGCGTCATTGAATTAAATGTGGGTGGTTTGTGTTACATGTATCATGTATAATAGTTATATGCTGCGAATAAACAACGATTGATCATTATGCTCTTTGGAGGAAGCACGAATGCCATATAATGTTTCAAAGAGGTGGGTTTTATCAAATCGGTTTATCCATAATAGAGAAGGATTTAATTATACCTTTTTCAATTCACTTTGGCAGGACTCTGTGACCATCTCTGTTTCACTGTCGGCTAAATTAGCAAGACTGGGATTACGGGAGGTTCAAAACAGAACGCTCTTTCTTTAGCCATAGTCCATGTTGATTTGATTACATGGATGACATCCTCTGGGAACCCCAAAACTGATGCGAGCGTGCGAAAAGTTTGGCAAAAAAGTTTCCTTCATTATGAAATCTACATGGTCATGAAGGTTGAGCAAATGACAAAACAAGCAAACAAACAAACAAACAGAGTATGGTATGGCGTATAATAGACTCTTCATTTTCATTTCTTCACATTTACCTGTTTTCCTTTGGAATTTATTTTGACATTCTACGACATTAGTATCGTTTTCCCATATATTTGCTAATTTTGTGGCTGCTTTGTACGATTTACAGTATGGTAGAAAACTTTTTTTGAAAACGTTGAAAAACTCGTGCGCGCGCTGATGTCCTCCATGTAATCAAATCAACATGGCCTTACTTTACATGTACGTGTGTACCTTCAGCAAATAGAAAGGGCATCGGCGCGTCTTGTTAACCAATGCATTTAGTAACTTCACGTTGATCTTTCTGTCATGACATTCTACAGTGTGACCTGTATCGCCTACACATCTCAGGATACTTCCGTTCTGATGGAAATCACTACGTGTCCCTGGCAGGGCCGTTGTCAGAATCACCATGTGGTAAAAACTGTCTTTGTTGACTGTAGTGTAGTAAACATTTGACCAAGTCACGTTCGTTTGGTCTCGCGAGATTTCACGTGACGTCACCGCGTCTCACTCGATTTTAACTTCTTTAGTCCAGCCCTCTCCCCTCATCTGTCTAGCTTCGCCACGCCCAGCGGCCCTGAACGTTCGTGATAGTGAAGAAAACGTCTCCTGCGATACGTTACAAACTACATCAGTGCACGTGGGATCGTCCATGTGATTTTCATCCTGCAGACAAGTGAAACTCCCGAGAAGTATGAGGCGGCTTTTGGTTCTACTGTTGCTGTGTGGGCTGTTGTTACGTGAGTGTAATTTTCCTGCTTGTTGAAAACAGACTGCGGTTCCTGCATCATCCTTTCTTACATCATTAGTGTACTTGTCCGATAGTCTTTTTGTTTCCAGAAGCTAGTGATGATTCCATTCAAAGATGTACATAACTTGTGTTATTCCTGGCCGCCCTGTTCCAATGGCATACATTCCTGATACGTCACCTAGCTGTTGAACAATCCCGCACTAATTTCAATCTACGTATCTTCATAACTGTTTGATACACACGTAACAGGAAGACTTTTGTGGGGAGAGGATTGGGGATTTCGTTCTCAGGGAAACCAGGGTCAACAAAGGCGTTCCCCGCGCACATTACAAAGAGTTACAGTCAGTGTATTTGAAAGTCTAAGTAGGCAATAGCTGCGTGGCCGGAACAAAATGTTCGTAGGGGACAACACTTCGCTTGTCTGGAATAGTTTTACTGAAGTTAACAGGATTTGACAATATCCAAAGTTTGGATAAATATTTTCACGTTATTAAACACTCAAAATTTTTTGGTAGTTCTGGACATTTTGTAGCTCTTGTATTTGCTTTGGAAATGGTGTCGTTTAAACACTACAAAACCATGTGATGGTCTCAACACACTACCTCAAACCAAACATATGGGGACAACTGCGTACTAGTATAATATCTAAACTCCACAGATATGGCTATACAAAAATAAATAAGTAGGAACTGAGGTTATAGGGATTTGATTGTTGCAATATTTTGAGCATATGGCTCGTTAATTTGCCTCGCAGCTGGATGCTGAACGCAAACGGGCATTGGTTGAGGAAAAGTCTTAAACTAACATAAAACTTAAAATTTTATACGTACTCAGAGAGATGCACTGTAAGTGGAATTTGAAAATGTGTATTCTTTTTAGATCAATTTATATCCTTTGTAGGTTCGTTATCTTTCCTATTCTTTTTGGTTCCTCCTTCAGTTACGTATTCTAATACGTCATTCCCCACGCACGCATTTTTTTTCCTTTTTGTCTTTTGTTTCAGCATCCCTCCCATCCAACCTCAACATCATTCCCGCTTCGTCCCCTTGATTCGCGAATGTCTCGGAAATATGATTCCTGTTTTGTTGCTGCGATCGCGACAAGCCGAAGCTTTTTTTTTCAGGATGCAGGGCGGGAAAGGAGAGAAAGGGTTTCGGCCCAGACCGGGGCAAAGCTGATTTTGTACGGGTCTGTGGTTCACAATGGCTGGGAACGGGCAGCCGGTAGCGACCCCCAGGCTCCCGGCTTTGTGTCCCGTCGTGTCGCCGACAGGCCGTATCTCACACGGCATTGTGCCGGCAAACACACACAAATCTGCTGTTTGACTTGGCCGACGCGTTAAGGCATTTAAGATCATCTATAATAATTACACGAACATAGTGACAACGTTAGAGATGAGAACTACACATTGAACGTCTATGAGTACTTAATTGTTGAAACATAAATGTATATCACAGTCATGAAATGGAAATAACATAATTGAATGAAAGTGAAATTCGTAACACGAGAATTCTAGACTTTCTGTTCACGTATTGCATCGTAACAAAATCTAAAATTCCATATATTTGAAGAGCCGAAAGCAGTATTAGATGAAACCATCTCATGTGCAACAATGCTGGAAAAAAACAACAGATATCTGTCGTACTAACTGGTCCTATTAACAGGTGGGCAAAGTTTAAGAGAGTTTTGCTCTACAACTAGTGTTTTACTTTGAATTGAGAGAGAAACTACAGAACAGGTGGTCTGTTTGGAGTCACAAGACACCACCACCCCAGAGTCGCGACATTTGCTCCCCTGCGTGACATCATGTCCGGCATTTAGAGCACAGCGGTCTCCTGTAATCACCGTATTTACACACGTCCACGCCGATAATTGTCAACGAAGTCCCTTGCATAAGTAGTGAGTAGGGTACTGGTTAGCCTCCGGGCTTATAAGACTGGGGGTTTGGTGGTCGGCTGTTTTCTGGTTTGCAAAAGACGGGGGTGATTCAACAAGGCCGGCTATGTTGTCTATATGCAATCAGAAAATAAATATAGCACTTAAAAGCTCCCAAAGACCCTGAAGAGCCCCCAAACCCCCAGTTTTTGGCATGCTATGGAGGCTAGGTACTGATAGCCTAGCGCCTATAGCCTACTAGCCTCCTGTGCAGGTCGACCTCCGGGCAGGTGGGAGTTTTGATACTGCGTTTTTTAGAATTTTTAACCGGCCATCCCACGACCAGCTGCCCAGAGCTGGTACAATCCTTCTCTGGGCGGCTGGTTGTAGGATGGCCGGCAAAGAGAACGCGTTAAAAATTCTACAAAACGCAGTCAAAACTCCCACCCTGCACTGGAGGCTACCGGTAGCCGGTCACTGACCGCACCGAAGCACTAGTCTCCGTGATCCACAACGTGGGCTGAGGGATAATGTGTCATGTTTATATTGCAGATACATGCCCGAGGGTTAACGGCGGCAAGTACAGACAGCATGTATGAAAAAATACAACGATATAAGAGACTACGTACGTCTAACGTTATGCAACATTCTTCAACATACGTGGTACATATAGGTTTGCTGGGTATGACGTTTTCTTTTAAGGCAGTGGATGACATTAGCCATGATAAGTGGGATCTTTGATGTAGTAGAATTGTTTTCTCATGGTAAGGAACAGTGGGAAAGTAAGCTTAAGGGTGTATTTTGGTGTAATTTACCAGCGCCATTCAATACGTTTGGCTACCATAGAGTTCATTTGTCAAGATATGTTTCGCTCCCATGGCCGGTTACTGGCCATATTTTTTCGCCGAAACCACAACCCCCTGGGAAGGTCTGGAGGCTGCTGAAGTACCAGCTGGAGCAAGCACTGAGGAGAGACGCCTAGCCAGGGATCAATTCAAGAACGGTGTTTAAATCGTCATAAATTAACCGGCAGTGCCAGACTGTTATACGAGAAGGTGGAAGAACAACGGTTTCACACAGAAGGCCCGATTCACATGGCCTGCATATGGGAACAATTTTATCCTCGTGCGTTTTACTACGCTCGATCGCCCCCAGTGGAACTCAAAGCTGAAAGAAGAACACTTAAAATTCAGCCTCCTGTGCAGGCCTCAGAGCCGGTGGGCGTTTTAATACTGGGTTCTGCAGAATTGTTAACGCGTTCGTTTGCTGGCCATCCTTCAACCAGCCGGCCATAGCAGCCTGGGCGGGTTGTGTCCTACTACGGCCGGCTGGTTGTAAGCTGGCCGGCAAACGCCTACCGCTCGGAGGCCTGCACAGGAGGGATAAGAAAACGTACTCTCCAAGCAGAGGCTAGTGGAGAAGATTGTGACCTTTCTATCATATGCCCCTTTTTCTGTCGCTACTCCCCACCAATATTAGCTCAGTAAACAGGGCATATGTTAGAAAGGTCACAATCTTCTCTAGCCTCTGCTTGGAGAGTAAGAAAGCGCGCCCCACCATAAAAACGTAGAAAACGCCGCAAATTAAGCAATTAAAATCTAATATTACCACATGACAGCCTCTGATGCCAACGGTATTTTTACAGACCGTATCTGCCTAGGGATAAGGCAATGTAAGGGCAATGAATATTGAACATCTCTCAAGCCAGGAAAAATATTTTCACCATTTTATTTCCTCCCCTCCATCGTGTTTGCTTGAAATACCCCTTCAAATATCAATCTGCAAAGAATTGCTTCGCATGTATATCATGTATATCATCCACTGTTTTCTTCCGTTGTACATGTGCACATCATATGTGGTTTTGGAATACGTTGTTGATTTGAAATGAAAAAGAAATAGACTAAGGTTAACCTTGTAGTGTCCGCAAAATAAGGCATTGATTTTTTTTCTTCAAATTACCGGTACCGTACCGGTAAAGAAGAAAATAAGTGAATCATGGTTGACAAATAGCCTCTAATTGCACATGAAAGACCATTATGGACCATTGTTAACAGCTCACGTTATCAGTACTCTGTCATTTCGATGGCTTCGACCATACCAATTTACTCCAAGCCAAAAAGGAAAATTGTCAAACCACGTTTATCTAGTCTTTACTTTGACAGCTTTTGTGGGTACGATTGGATAATCGCTACACATTTCTTTCTACTCAAAAATAATCACGCCACCGGTACCGATTACTGAATAGTGAGTAAGATGCCCTGCACATTATGTTAAACTTGTAATGGCCCACAAGGAATTTGATGATGACGTGCGCAGACGACAGTATAAATGCCAGACTCCTTACAGGTGCGTTCACAGGTTTCTTCAGCACATTGACGTACGTAGTCCGATACTACAGAACCATGGCGCTTAACAACACTACTAGTGCGGGGGATTGGCGTGAGGATGGAGGCGGCAGGGCGCTTAGCCATCTCCAGTGCTACATCCTCCTAGCAGAAAACCGTACAGGCCCGGACGTGGAAGCCTGCCACGCCGCCACCGCAGCGTCGGAAGGGAGCGGAGGGACGTCGGGCGCCGCGGCGTACGTCTTCGGCCTCGCCATCATCCTCGCCAACGTGCCGGTCCTCCTCGGCATCGCCAGGAAGAGAAGCCTGCACAAGCCCATGTACTACCTCATCGCTAACATGGCCGGGGTGGACGCCATGGCCGGGGTGATGTGCCTCGTCCTACCGACGGTTCGGCAAGCAGGGGGCGGTGAGGGGACGTACCTCAAACTCTACACCACCCTGTTCTTCTCCGTTCTCCTGTCTCTCACGGGACTGATGCTGCTCACCCTGGACAGGTACATCTCCATCTACCACGGCCTGTTCCACCAGACCAGCATCACCGGGAAACACGTCGCCGGGGCCGTGGTCATCACCTGGGTTCTGAGCGCGCTGGTCTCCTACTCCCCGCTGTTAGGGTGGACTTGTCGTGTCACAAACGTTCGCTCAGACATGTGTCTGGACTTTGTGGACTTGAATTACTTCATCTGCCTTGTTGTCATTATCTTAGCAGGCGTGACTTCTGTTGTGGTGGTAAATATAAGAATCTATCTAACCTTAAGGCGACGACTGTTAACGGTAGGTGTGGGCGGGAACGACCACGGGAATGGCCATCTACTGGGAGGGGTGCACATGGGCGCACAGCAGGTCAAAGCCGCAAAAAAGAAAGCCATGACCGTAGCCTTCCTTGCATGCGCTTGTATGGTGAGCTGGGTTCCTTATGTCGCCGCCATAGTCCAACTGTTAGACGGTCTCTATATGCGTAGCGTGGAAGAAAGGCTAGCTTACAGGCCGACCGTTTTTGGCGTTGCTGTAGTATTTCTGGGAATATTTCCCGTCTTGAACCCGGTTTTGTACGCATTTCGCTTGCCCCAGCTACGCAAAGCTGTCAAGAAATCGTTTCAAGACTGTTTTAATTTCGTTTGGTCCAGGCGATGTAATAGAAACGGCAACCAAGTCGCACCGGCACTCAATGTTACGACAAACGCTAACACTAGTACCATGGATACGCAACCGCTACCGACTGTGGACGTCCACTAAATCTGTCAATCAAAAATTATGTTTGTCTGGTTTTTGTTGTGTAGAGAAATTAGCTTCAATTACCTGCGATGTCACTTCGTTGTTAGGAAAGAATTGATTGATGTTGTATTCTCTTCGTTGAAAATAAAAGTATGTCAGAAATTCTACTTTTCTGTCCTCTTTACAGGTGGGTCAAGCTTTCAGTTATGTTAAATGATTGTAGTACAAGATTCAGATTCTGAATTTATCATAGGTCTGCATTTTTTTTAAATATTTGAGACGCGCAAAACATCATATTGTTTTTTTTGTCAGGTGCAGGATTCTAACCAAGGGTATCATCGAACACAATATACAGTAACGTGATCATTTTGCCCGAAAACGGTTGGATATCCATTTTTAACCGTGCACACAAGCCGTGCGTCATGTCACTTTGCAATGATGGAGAAATAAGATTATCTGCAATTGAATATCTGCAATTGAATATCGCCGATAGGGATGTACCATAATGTTATTTTTTCTGCAAGGAATTAGGACGCGTTTATACCTGATTTCCTTCGATCAAAGATTGTAATCGAGAATGATCTCGAGATTTATTCGTATAGCCGGTGTAATCTATAGCTAGCCTTCGCAGACTTGTAGGCTGACGTCGTTGATTTTTTTTCGAATTCGGGTAACGACGTCCGCGGAGGGACGGTTTTGCCGTGGAGAGAAAACGGTTTTGCCGGGGAGAGAAAGCGGTCTCTCTGTTCTTGGGCGGTGAAAAACTCTGTACTCTGTCTCCGGCAGACTCCCTCCGCTGCAAAACTGTCCCTCCGCGGCATAACTTGCGTCGCTCCCCGAAAAAAAAAAACAATTAACGCCGCCATCCCACAAGTCTGAGAAGGAGGCTAGGTACATTATACAATCGCCCTTCGGCGTAACACATCAATTGTGGGCGAAATCCACTTTGCACTTAAACATGACCACTATAGAGTTACATCTCCCAGCGTCATGTTTTGGTTAAGTGCAGTCTGTGCGCCTTGGCATGTGTACACCTTGAGCCGCGCAGGAGTCAGGCAAACATATCCCGTAACGTCACTGAATCATGTTTGGCATTAAGAGGGCTTCAAATATGTCCAGGTGTGGGTAAAAACGTGAGCTGGTGGTATTGCGCGTATCCGTCTCGTAAATGGTCGTTGTCATTTGAAACCGTCGATGTCATATCGCTGAATGGTCAATGTCATATCTGAGGGCATCATAACATTTTGGGGAGGCAAAACATTCAAAACGTACATGAACATTTCAATTGTAAATGTACGACAGAATAGTTTTAATTAAGATATTTAATTTGTGAAAAAATGAAGAGCACAAGCTGGGATTCGAACGCGGATCAAAAAGTGTAATCTTAATCTAAAACTCTACACCACGAAACATCACGGTGTGGAGGGAGCGTGCTACTTCACTTTAAAGTTTGCCGTTTTGCGATAATACCATCTACCGTTTCAAATGGCAACAACAGTATACGATACGGAAATAAGAGGCGGGGTTACTGCCTTTTGTGAAGATCACATATATATAGTTCCGCCCACCCCAGTTAAAATATGCAAACGGCGACATTTGGCGCATATGCACCCACACTCTCATTGGTCGAACCAATAATTGCAATGCCATTATTGGTTAAACGGCTAATTGTGATGGACGGTCAGGATCGGTCTTTACGTGGGCGTCATGCACAGACTAGATAGCAAAGACTCGGTGATAGAGAGGAAAATGCAGATTTTTTTGTACAATGTAGCTTTATTAAACATTTTTTCACTCTCCTACTAGACCTTTTCTAAACAAATGACAAGCGATAACAGCTCAAGGACATGTACTGCGCAAATCCCCTAATTTCTAGGTCCATGGGATTTAAACGCATTATCACTACCTCTGTTCCCAAGCTGGCACCCACTTACGCTGTATACCTTAGCTTACAGTTTTGTTTGATTCTTCAGTAAGCTCACAACTTGGTAAAACTAAAAATATCATCAAGTGGCTATAGGATAGGATCACAGTGTTTGCGTATGAGGGGTCATCTGTATTTACTATTCAGTCGCTCTGCACTTTTTTTTGCTTTTCTACCTGCCCTGTTCTGTGATGTTTTCCTTTTTCCTTAACAAGATTCAACGGAATTTTTTTCCAGTTTTCGTCCCATGTGCAAACTAATAGTGGTTTAAATTGAATAGCTAAGGAGAAAAACAGATTTTTTTCAGAAATAGATGTGGCCTACAAATACTGATTACACCATCATGACGCCGTAATATTAGGCTATGTTGATTTGATTATATGGATGACATCCTCAGGGAGCCCCAAAACTGATGCGCGCGAGCGAATAAAAAAAAGTTTTGCAAAAAAAAAAGTTCCTTTCATTATGAAATCTACGTGGTCAAGATGGTTTGGCGAATAATCTAGTCTTCAAGTTCATTTCTTTACAATTTCGTCTTTTTTCGTTTGATTTTGGCATTCTACGACATTGGTATAGTTTTTATTAATTTTTTTTGTAACTTATGGTATATTTTTGCTCATTTTGCAACTGTTTTGTGCGATTTACAGTATGGTTGAAAACTTTTTTTTGGAAACAGCCGAAAATTCATGCGCGCGCGGATGTCATCCATATAATCAAATCAACATGGCCTTATGTATAACCATGGCGGTAAAAATCACCTAGAGAAAAAAAATCAAGATCCATACTTAGCCTTAAATGCTGATAACCCATTCAGTCCAACACACACGCTACATAGGGTAAAAACCTTGACCTTGCCCTCCCAAGGCCAAAGACAAATAACAAAAGATCATTTTTGAACTCGGTTACCTAATTTGGTGTGCAAACATATCCTGCCCAGGCCTTCCGGTAAGGGCTGTTGTGGAAAACCAAAAAACAAGGAGACGTTTGAGATGAAACGAAGCTAGAATTCACGTCGGCACAATGAGGAGGAAAGATTGCTGGGGAGAGGATGGGGATGTGTGTCTGTGGAATGGTGTTCTTCTATCTATCTATAGCAATCACTCGTGATCTTTATTTGCGATTGTATACAGATTCATGTACAGATACATGGTCATTTACAGGTACAAATTCATGTACAGATATACAGATACAGACTTTCCGAGTAGGATGACCGTGTCAGTCCCTACACCTGGGTGAGGGTCACAGTTGACACGGTGGCCTTCGCGTGGATGCGAATCTGAGACCCACACACTTCTCCAGCGGATCCATATCGAGGGAGACGTGCTGGCTCCGGTTGGGATGCTTGCAGCGAGATGCCGGATGACTTGGTTACGCCTTGATCACGCCAGCCCGCCTGGCGCTGCTCTCGTCCGCCAGCTGAGGACAACTGCCGCTGGAGTCTTGTCCCTCTAATTGAAAAATTCTTTTGTATTCATGGGTGTTTTTCGACCTTGGGTGTGGATGCCACTCTATGACTAGTTTCGCGTAAATCTGTCGTTCAACTACGCTTTATGTATATATGTGGAATTTTTCAATAACGCTTATCAATTCAGGCTTGCAAACATAACGTGCTACGTGATTACTCTTCAGGAAGAATTTCCTGACAATGCTAAAGGTTGAATTGAAGCGGCTGGATACGAGTAACAGTCAATCAAAGCATCTTCCTCTTCTGTTCAGTACATTGTGTTTTGAGCACCTTTTATGGCAACCTTTTTATATCTCCGCGCGCGATTTTCCTTTAGGCCACAGCAATTAAATTTCATGGATGACATTCTCCACAGACTTCAAGTCTAAATATATATAATGCGATAGGGCGAAAAAAACTAGGAGGAGAAAAAACAGGATTCCTACATTTTCAAATGTTGACATCATAAACCTTGTTAAACAAGAAATGATACCTATATTGTGCTGAAGTTTACTGCCAACTATTATATATTACAAAGTCCATTTGTCACTGAAAATTAAAAGTTATCAATCATATTGTACAAATAATTTTAATTCATTGAACATCGCATGTAAAATGATTTAAATGCATCACTGCATCAAAGTAAAAGACAAAACAATGAATCAGAACCTTGCCTTGTCTCCTCGGTTCACATTTATCTGCCATCCACGTCCCGGTAAGGTAACGTTAACATACATCTTTGCCAATTTTCGGCATGTTGACAACCTTGGCAAGAAAATTTCTTTTTTTTTTTCTCTCCAAAATCAGGCGAAAATCAATATGCGCGCGCTGATGTCATCCATAAGAATTACTTGATGTGGCCTTACCCGTTCTTGAACTGGGTAGCATGATATAACATGCATGGAGGGATGATATATATGTACACCTTTCTATTTACTATACTTCTCATTGACAGCCAACTTCAAACGTCAAAACACACCGGTGGCACATTATATTTAGTAGTCATCGATCAAGCAGGTCGTCACTGTGTTTATATATATAGTGCGAGGAACAGCACTGTACTAATTTTGATGCAGCACTGATACTGATAGTGATACGAAATTTGCTCCAGATGCATCCGCCTAAAATTAAAATAGAGCTAATGACGGTTACAGTTGTATTGTGCATGTAATTCTTGTCCTTCAGAGGATACTGAATCGAATTCTCGAACTCTCTTATCTTATCTCTTATCCCTTCCTCCTTCCCCCCTCCCCCTTCCATACTACTAGTAACAGATGATACAATGTATTGCAAAGCTATCATTTTCTAATTCTCCTTTATTCCATCCCTGTATTCTAAGTTGTTTTAGGTTGTTTGTATGTTTGGGTTCTAACGTGAGTGGGCGGAGATTGGGTTTCAGTTGATTGACGGGATTTTGGCCCTGTATATGGATTCAAGGATGTGGTCTCCAGGAAACCTACATTGTATGAAATATAAACCATGGTATAATAGAGAAGCAAGTTTACCATACAATCGTATGCATTCTACTGTATAATTCATTATCTACTTCCTGGAAGTTTGTAATCTCTGATGTCTTGTTTACATTGTATCATGTATCGTGTTTGATAACCTGGATGTGTTTCCCGTGTGCAGGTGTGTCGGGCCTGCGGTGCTGGGAGTGCCGGTCCCGGGGGGAACACACCCGGTGTGAGTACCAGCCGGGTCTGGTGGCCAGGGCAACACAGTGCACGGACAGGGAGAAACGCTGTCTGGTACGGTAGACATTTGGCCTAGCCTCTACCAGGCTTCGGGAGGCGGCTGTTAAGAGTAGAAATTGGCCAGATAGAGAGATAACAAGCCGAGGGAGTTGGTCTGCTAGATGCGGCAAAATGTACTCTCTATCTATCTCTAGCTAGTAGACCAATTCCTTTGGCATGTTATCTCTCTATTTGGCCAATTTCTACTCGATCTTTCCGGCCGCCTCCCGAAGCCAGAGGCTACATATGGCTAGATGCCCTCTCAAAGTGTGGGTGCGTAGTTGAAGAGAATCCGGATAATCTCCAAGCAGATGTTTGGCGGCAAAAACGTTACATTTTTTAGAACTGGCCGTCTAGAGAGAGTCCTCAACCGTCCCCGATGGCAAATGGACACTCCTCTGGACAATGACTACTTTGTAACGGAGATCATGTTGGAATCATTTTAGCACTTTGAATCAATTAATGTTTCATTTTCACACATTTAAAACGTTGATAAATTGTTGACACTTTCACTAATTCTTGTGTACAATGAAGGTATCTCTGTGTTTTTTTTTCATAGACTTCCAAAGCCAAGTCCAACGGTCACGTGACGGTTGTTCGCGGCTGTGCCACGCCTGCGCGGTGCATCCTGTCTGACTGTGACGGAGTGACAGGGAACTGTTCCAACCAGCAGTACTGCTGCGCGTACGACATGTGCAACGACGAGTTCTCAGCAACCGTCACCATGGAAACCACCACCGTCACCACCCTGGGGGACCGAGTCGACCAATCAGACGCTGCCACGTCAGACCCAGCCGCCGGTCAGACGGCGCCCAAGATTAGTGACTTCACCAAGAGCGCAGGGCAACGCGTCAGTCGTGAATTCGGACTCATTGTAGTAGCGTGTTGCTGCATTCTTTTGATGACGTCATGGTGACTCAATACTGACCTTGACGATATGTAGGCACGTAGATGCTTGTATATAAATGCTTAGTGGTTAGTGTATATCTGTCGTTGAATTGAAAACTAGTATCGTGTTAAACAACAGCGTACACACTGTACTTGGGAACAGTTTAGTAATATATTCATACATGCGTGGATCGAGCCGTCTACGTATGCGTAATAAAAGATGATAGACATTGCACAATAATGCTTTTAAAGATTATCATACGTTCAAGCTTGATTGTGTCATTTTATAAAGATGTATAGTTGTGAAAACATTTCCTCCTAGAAACTACACTTTCATACTATATGAACATGTGAAAAATCCACTGGGCATTTAAGATTGAAAGATGAATAAAAGATGTTCTTGATAAACACTCTGTTTTGACTGATACTTTTACATAAAATAAGCTCTTACAAGCTCCTACTATATAACAGTTCTAACTTGTAATCCTGTCGTCTGAAGTGGCATTAACTAGGACGTAGTGAGGGGATGTAATTAAGAAACACGTCAGATACTTCCGGATCAACTGTTAATTTGTTGCTTTCGATTAAGAATCATGGAATTTCAAATGTCACCGCCAAAAGAACCCCATCAGGTCATCATCCAAGATGATCAAACTTCGTTGGTCAGAGCATCAGCGCCACCTTGTGATCTGTAACAGAGCTGCAAAGATTTGTACAACATCCAGTGATGGCAATGATCAGGTACATGTATATCAACGATCACTTTCCATTCAAACATTGAGAGAGGTGGACCGAGAATTCTTGTAAAATTCGACTGCTGTTCAACAGTGCTACACACAACATCTTGTGAACAATTTTACTGGCAACATTTTCATAGTTGAATACATAAATTTCCAACCAACAAAAAATCCACAAAGCCTCATAAATCCTCCATAAATCCAGATTTTTAGTCTTATATTGTATTAAATGTGTGACTGGGTTACCGGTAGTTTACGCCTACGCTTGCAACCATACGCTGTCACCAACGTTGGTGCATTGGTATGAAAGCAAGCGGCAACTTACGAGGTTGGTACTTGGTACCTCCATGCCAACATATAGGACTGGACAATGACAATGACTGGACTGGACAATGATGTATTTTTTGTTATTATTACTATTTATTACTGTTATTGGTTAATTATTGTGTTTTCGTTATTATCATTGCCATTATAATTTATTTATTGTTTTTGTTATTATCATTGCCATTATAATTATTTATTGTATAATTTTTGTATGCTAATGTTATTATTGGTATGTGATTGTTGTATTGTGCTGTGTAATACAGGGCCCCGTTGAAAAGCAGTGCCATCACTGAATTGGGTTACCCTGTATAAAAATGACGGAAAAAAAAATAAAATAAATACATATACAGGCTAGGAAATGAGTAGGGACAATGAGGTTGAGGAGAGACTAACATAGTACAAAAGGTAGTAATTCTGTCCTCGCTCCTTCTCTCTTCAACCTCCTTGGTAAGAACGATTAACGGTTTACTTTTCGTAGGCACCAGTCTCATTGCCCTAACCCTCCTCCTTAGTACTAGGTTATGTCAATGAAATACAGGCAAGCACACTAGGTGATAGATGATTCCCAAGAGACCTTTACGCACGCAAGAACTATTGTTCCTTAAAATACATGCTATAAAAAACCTGACAGGTCACCTGAAGCGTATGTATTTCTGGGATGCTCTTTTGTTTAAAAACACAAAGAAACAGCTGATACCTTATTAATAAACGATGAGAGATACGATTTCTGTATTCTCCACAAGTGACAAATACTCGTACGGAAAATTGAATAATAATTTAGACATGGCTGCATTTTACGTTTTCTTTCATCGAGCGTTTAGAGCATATGGCTCAGTACGCTTTAACAGCGCCACTAGGCGGTGAGTTTACATTACTGCAGGTTTAATGACTTCACGTAGGCGCCATATGTTGACAATTTGTCTTGCCCTTTGCGGCCTCTCCACCCAAGAGCAATGCCAATATAACGTAGCACTTCCAAAGGTTAGGTCCATATTAAATATTCCCGTTTCCTTGGTGCGTGAGTGCAGTTAGATTTTTCGTTCTTTCAGCAAATTGAAAATTTGGACTCGTTGTTGACTTTTGCAATAGATGCTGTACTAGAACACTTTAGACAAAATACGCCCAGCATGTTATCTGTCTTCCTTGTTACTAACATCGACTTCAGTGCAAATTAAGTAAAAACTGCATGCCACCTCTCCCCCTCAGTACTGCCCCATTCGTCAGAGGGTTTCCAAGGATCAGATGACGATACAAAAAGGCTGTCTATAATTATATAATTATGGGAAGGGCAGGCGAAAGACCGGTTTCTGTTCAGCGAACCTTAAAAGTAAGTCGGTGTTTTACAACAGCAATGCCCCCATCCAACTAGCTTTTGGCTATATATCATTGCGACTTTCCCAAGACCAAGTTCACATCTAGACACTTTATATTGAATTGAAAAAAAGCCATCGCTACCACCACATGTGTAAACACACGTGAACAATAGGGGATGTGTAGTCTTGAAACAGGCCACGTTTGTTACAATGTTAGCACAATACATTTGAGTCTCGTGAGAATTACGTCCAACACGCGATAATTCAACAACCAATTCACGAGCGATGAGGGCCCTATTCTTACTTCTGTCGCTTTATCTGTCTATGGGTCACAAGACACATTACCCACGCTACCATTTTGTAACCTGCAGAGCCTGTTTTGCCTTGTGTATTTTGAAGACGTTATAAAAAAATACAAAGTCACCATTGAGTGTTGGTCGAACATGTCCATTCTATTTAAAGAACTGATTTCTGGTGTCTACAAACACAAATATTTGTGTTGGCTCGACTAACAGCAGTCGTGTCATACACATCCTGGAACTATGAAGTAAAAATATTTCTATAAACAGTTCATTCGAACAGGCCTACAGGCCTAGATGTAAGGGCAGAATATCTGACCAACGTACTGTTTCTTGTCCTACTTGCTATCATTTGACTTTGAAATAATTAAGTATATTAGACTCAAATTACTGCATATTGAGACAGCAATTTATCCCAATATTACATTGGTGAATTGAAACAATAAAACATTCATAATACAATTCCACTGAACGTAAGTAAAAATATCTGCTGATTATCGTTCCACATTTTTTCCATCTTCAGGAAATACCTTATCTGCACCATACGATGTACCCAACAAGTGACAGCTACTAAACAGTGTTTATATTCACCGCAGTTCAAGCTCCATTGAGAACGACCCACCCGCCCTGTACTAAACAAGACCACCAGTCTACCGCCCTGCCCTGTCAAATTAACCTGTCGTCTGGGTGGGTAAAGTTACATCCACTGATCAGCTAAAGACGCGTAACATATGTACCAATACATATGGAAACAATAAAAATGCTACCATTTGATGATATATTGCGAAGCTACATTATAAGCTACATATCTTTGGAATGCTTTGAAGCGGTGTATACCTTTTACTCGTAAATAGATATAATATAATAACGATATGTGCAAATTTTAAGGAATGCTTTCTCTACAAGGCTGTCTTTGGGTGGTAGCTAGTAGCGTCTGTCTTCAAGAGGTGTTAGAGACTTAAAGAAAGACAGCTGGCACCTGTGCAAGAGAAGCTATCACCCTTTAAATGTTTAAGTGCCCTTCTGTAGCCTTATTTGGTGTAAATGTTCTTTTCTAAGTCACCACCGGCCAGAGCTCCTCGTGTTTGTTGTCCGATCCTGTCGCAGAGCGAACAGGCGGTCTCTGTCGGCTGCGGGACCTCCTCCATCCCCTCTCGCACCTGCGGCTTGTCCGCCTGCCGGCTCGCGTACTCTCGGAACAGCCTCTCGTAGTAGCAGAAGATGCTGTTAGCCAGTAGGTTCTTCCTCGCGTAGTCGCGTCCGTTCTCGGCAATCTGTCGGGCGTCGTCGTCGTTCCTCTTCGCCCATCGTATCTTCGGGACCAAGTCTGTCAGATCCTTCCTGAAGGGAATGTAGTGCACGTACGGCTCCAGGTCCTTGTAGAAGTGTTCGTAGTACACGGACTCGTGTTTGAAAACGGCGCTATCCCCGGCGAGAAGGTACGGGAGGCGGTACGCGGCGACTGTACCGTCTATGTTCAGCTGGTACTTGTACTTGAAGAAGTCGAAGAAGGAGATGTGCTGCACCTTCGGTCCGTACTTGGCCTCCTCGTCGCGGAAGAAGAAGAAGTTGGTGAGGGCGGCGTCGATGAGGTCGGGGTATTTGCGGCCGAGGTCCACAAGGTTGAGCCTTTCCCGGCGGCTGTCCCGGCCCCGCCACAGCGCCTGTTCGGTCTTGTTCACCCACCGAGGGCCGGTGTTTCCCTGTACCGACAGCATGTCCAGGCTAACCCTCCCCATGGTCTCTAACGTGGACTCTGTCAGATCGTAGGTTGGCATGACGATATCCCGTGTTTCATCCGACCCGCACCACGACAGGATCGGGAGAGGTCCGTCCTTGGCCGGTCTCTTCTCCAGCGGCCAGTCCCCGAGGTTCACGAAAAACTCGATATCCGGGATCCGTACTTTCCGTGTTAGCGAGTGCAACGTGGAGTCCATGAACATCTTAAAGCCGGTGTGTTGTCCGTGACACTTCCGGTAGATCTTGCCGTCCTTAACCGTGTAGTGACACAGGCTGTGATGGGTGCCAAACCGCTCTACAGCTTCCTTGGAGAGCCGGTTTAGATCAATCTTGGGGAATATTTCGAGATCACGTTCGATTTGGGGAAAGGCAGAGGGACACTGCATGTCGGCTTCCCACTTCTGGTGGTCCTGTTGAGGACAGTAGCAGTTCTCGTGGTAAACGCGGCCGGGGAGGAGGTATGGGGAGTCCGCCACCGGTTCGTCCCCGCTAAACACTTCAATTTTCAGCCCGTCGTAACTATCGAACATTCTGTACCTTACGATAAAAGTCCCGTCTTGCCGGTCCAGTTTCTGCACCCAGACGCGGGCCCTGCCGCCGCTAGTGGACGTGATACTCACCCTGAACGCCTTGTCTCCGGGAGAGTAGGTGAAGTTCTCGCCGGCGGTATCTGTGGCCTGGATGTAAAACCATCGCGCCGGGACCACGAAATTTGTCTCAAGGCCGGGGCCCCATACGGTGCTCTTGGCGGGGCACACGACCCTCTCCCGCTCGTATCCCGTCACGGGGTCCCGTAGGGGGAGCACGCCCAGCACGATGCTCGCCAACACGAGCGAGATGATCTCCGATCGTGAAAATCCCATCGTTTTAGTGATATTCTGGCCGATTTGGGCCCCCTGAACTCTACACAAACCAAACCCAGACTGAAGTTTCTGGTTTCTTTCTTTTCCTCCTGTATTTAACCCCTGACCCAAGGCGATACCAGTCATCCAGAAGGGGAGCCACTTAATAAACATTCAAAGACAACAATACTCACTCATAATAGATACATTTTCAAATTTCAATTCTATAGTTTATATGTTTTATTCTCTGAAATTATCTGAGACTTTTCCAAAACTGTCTAAAAAGAAACAAGTGTTTTCACACCTCTATTTGATATGGCCTCGCCTGACTTACCCAGAGTTCTGTGCTGCACGGCGGCACGTTGCGGATTTTTCCATATTTTCACCTGAGAAAGGGGCCAAATTCTGCCTGAAATGAGCTGCTGTCCAGCCTTTATAGACCTCCCAGAGGAGGAGCAGGTCTGTACTGCTGGTTTGCTTATCTTTCTAGTCGCCATTGGTAGAAAAACCGTTCATATTATGGGTCGTATGTCTGTGGATCGGATGCCCCCCTCCCCACTTTTTTCTTCCTCACATGTGTGCAGCATGGTACAGGTATTTTGACATATGGAGACTGATAAATTCCATATTGAACCACGTAAAATTGTTTGCCCGACACCAGCCAGACTACTGGACAGTAAGAATCACTAAAGGTACTTATCAAGCAGGGTAAGACTTTAAGGTGAAGCCAATTACATCATAATATGTGCATAATTTTCTTTTTTTTTTAAATTCATCGGTAGTTTACAAAATTATATACTCTAAAATTCTACTCAAACCTGTACTAGTGACCATCTCTACATAAGACCAACTGGCACCCCTTTTTGGTGGTTCCTCAGATAAATTTCCCTACATAATTTTGACACAAGCATTATTAAAGAATCCTGTCTTCTTCTTCTAGTAATGACCACCTCTCCATATAGACCAGATTTTATTGGTCCCCTGGATGGTCTTCCTTGACAGTTTGAACTGTATAGTTTCATGAGATATCACCTGTCATCCCATGTTTTCAATGCACATTATTACACCACAGGTAGATATGTAGCTTTTTTCTATGGTGTAAATTGAGCAAAAGTAAGATATCTTTCCAATGTGAAATGAATGAATGGATCAGTGCAAAATATTATGTTAGCAACACAAACATAGCATGTCATCAGAACGTACTGCTCCTGTGAGAAAACTGCAAAGTATAGCACTTTGGCAGAATGTCTCATGTAAGGTCGTATTTGCGCACATAAGGTTAACATCCCGTCTGTTGTTTCCAAATGTTATGTTTGAAAAAATATGTTCTGCAACAGGCAAAACTCTGATGCAACGTTGACCAAAAACCCAACAAAAACTGTGAAAAATGGGGGTTTTGCGCAAGCGCAGTACATTCTGCCGACATGCTCTTGCAGTAACTGCAAGAGCATGTCGGCAGAATGTACTGCGCTTGCGCAAAATGCAGTATATCTAGAGAAGACTGAAGGCTGAATAAACTTCAAGTCTGCATGTAGATTTTTTAAATTACCATGTGTAGTATAACAACTTGTCTTGAACACCACAGATAATAGAACTAAGGAAGTACCTGAAGACCACAGGAGCAGAGATCTCTGAGGAGAACTCAGGTGCAGGATGGATCGCAGACCTGATGCAGGTCATTGACGCTACAGAAACGTGCTGGAAATCAGCTGACGAAGCAGGTGAGTGGGACTATTACTTGATACAGTGCTGTACTATGAACATGTCGGAAGATACATGTATGTACTTTGCCTGTGGAAAACTGTAGTGTATTTTTGATATTGTTTGTAGCAATTTGACAGAACATTTAAGTTTGTATTCACATATTTAAGGTTGATATCATGGCTTTAGTTTTCAAAAGTTGTGTCTTAAAAGACCTCATCTGCATTGGCCAAAACTAAGATGCAACACTGATATTTAAAGAATGAACAATTCAACACTCTCAAAATGTTGGAATTGGTTAGAACTAACATTATGTCGTGTCCTGACATATTTTACAATTTTTGCGATTGCTTCTGACTGTGACATTCTGTTAAATTTTTTTATTACAGGTCCTTGTACTGGTAAGCCCAAGTTGTATTTCAAACAGCAGAGTTGCCATTCAACAGAATTTCTTATGAACACCTCAATTTAAGGAAGAACATCTTGTCTTTTTTTTCCTCCAACAACAGAAGTGGAAGGTTTCTTAACAAGTGTCCTGTCACTGGTGTTCATCGTCCCCACTGCTAAGATCGACGAGGTTGTCTTGTCCCTGTGTGAGAAGGTGGTGAAGGGAGGAGACAAGATGAAGGAACTCAGGCTAAGAATGTAAGGCTACCTGTCTTTTCTCCTTGGTGCAAAAATTTTGCACCTTGTACATTAGTGGTACAAAATGTAGATCGAAAATGTAACATAGATTAAGGATGACTTCAAGGAAAAATGTACTCAAGCTACACCTGTATCTATTTATAAATCAAATTGGTACTAGCTTTAAACTTCTTGGTAGGAAAGTATAGTTACTAGTATTTATTTGCGAGTTGCTGTTTAATAAACATGTGCCATAAAGATTTTAAAGGTTGGTACTTGAATTCCCATCTACATATAGCTAATAAATCTTGAATGTGTTATTTTTTTTCCAGCTTGAACAACTTGTACAATGGTGTTGATGAGAGGTCCCCTGTCAGGTACAACGTGTACTGCGCCATGGTCAAACTGGCTGGACAGACCAACAGTGTGGACTGTATCAACACCAACCTGGAGGAGGTATGGCAAAAACTGAAACTTTTTTCCTGCAATGCAAGTTGTATTCTTCCCTTTAAAGGCATTTAATGCAATATATTGCCACTAGCACACTTTTGTCATCATTTCATACTTGAAGCGTTTGTGCTAGCCCCAGAACAAGCTATGTGAAGCATCTCTTTATTTTTTGGGTACCGCCCATAGATTGCTAGAACCAGCCTACGTACAAAACAAGCAACCTTTTCCATCATTGACATTGCCTTTTTGCCTCACACTAAGTCATAGATATCAGTATGCTATGGGTCAGGGACCTCAGGGTTGGTTCAACTTACTATATTAAAGGACTGACCAGAAAATTGACTGTGAAAATCCATTTTTTTCTGCCCATTGTACAATTGCATTGGATGCTTTGAATTTGAATTTCTAATAGATTTTTTGAGTATGCAGTGAATCTGTAGCTGCTCTAGACCCCACAATTTTCCAAGAAATATTCCAAATGTTGAAGTTTGTTACAGTTATGTTGTCATGAATGGATGTATGTATATATGTATGTACAGGAAAGGTTGATTTTGTACACACAATGTTGTTGTTCCCAGGTTCAGAAGTGGATGAAACTGTGGAATCTGGACACAGAGAAGAGGGTAAACCTGCTCCGCCGACTGCTAGAGGCTTTCCTGGAGTGCAACCAAAGGTTTGAAGACACTGATGAATTCTCCCTTTAACTACATGTATGACTGTTAAAGTTTAAGTTACTGAGATTCAGGAAAAGATTTTTCTCTGACATAAAGAGCATTAGGAAGGATAGATGATATGTGAACATTTTTATGTGAAAATTTGTCTCTCTTAGTAATGTTCTAGTTAATATTCATAGACTTTTTCTATGCTCACTTGCCCTTCTTACGTACGTTGTACTGTATGTAGAGAGAAAAACTTTTGTCACTGTGGTTCTTCATCAGGCGAAACTGCTATTAATATTAGTCCTCTGTAACTTAGCACTTTTATTTATCAATGCACTAGTGTAAAATTTGCTCTGCTGAAGCAGCAATGGATTGTAAATGGTTCAAGACACACTGATATCTACACCATATGGTGGGATTGTTTTGTGTTATAATAAGAAAGAGTTTTTTCATGTTTCCAGTGAAACTGCCAGTAAAGCCATGGTGGAGCTGTTGAGAAGCTACACAGAGGACAACGCCTCACAGGCCAGGGATGACGCACACAGGTGGGTCTGTAAGAGACTATACAGGCAACAAATAGTACTGAGATCATGGAAAACAAGGCTAGTCCAATGGCGCAAGTCCATGTAATGTAAGAATGGGACGCAATACAACCTATGATATCTTAACATGGGTTCTAGTGGCAGTGTTGTGCCACACTAAGAAAATCTCGTATTAATAAGTAAAACAAGTGCAAGGAAGCACCCTGTAGTAACTGTGAAGTAGTAAATAGAACTCCTAGATAGGAAGAAGACAAGACTTGTGATATGAAATTATATTTTCACCTGTACAGGTGTATAGTGCATCACCTGGCCCAGAAGGACATGTACCTGGTGGACCACCTGCTGGTTCTCAAACCCATCAAGTTCCTGGAGGGAGAACTCATCCACGATGTAAGTTCTTTAAGTACAAAAATCAAGGAGATGGTTGAAACACAAAGGAGAAAGGGGTGATTTTATTCTCTCATTGGATTGTGATAAAACACTGACTGGAAAAAGAATGTTGTACATGTAAGTCATGAGTAGGTGTTGTCGTGAAAGAATAGACAGGAAATTCTGTCAGTAAAAATCTTCAATTTGAAACTAAAAGTAAGTTTGTATAATAGTTCTTTATCAATGATGTGCCCTTCCCAGCTGCTGACCATATTTGTAAGAGGCAGTCTTCATAACTACATGGAGTTCTGCAAGGCCAATCCAGACTACATTGAAAAGCTTGGTAAGTAAGGTATATTTCAAGTATTGCTGTATTGTTGAAGACTGTGGTGTTGTCATTGTGTATTTGGTTGGGAGGTCTCAATTCATCATCATTGGATGTGTGAAATATCCGCCAAGTGTTCATACAGTGTGACTTCTGTGATTAGTTTGTAGATTATGTTTCTTCATTTGTATATAGTGTAAATCTCTTTTTGTTTTATATGTGTGTTTTTAATGTTACTTGGAAGATTAGCCTTTTGGCTAAAGGGTATCGGAATAAACTTTAAAGAGGGAGAGAATCTAACATCAGCAAAGTTCTGTTTTCAGTAATTTGACCATTGATATGTTTTTAGGTCTGTCGCATGAGTTGTGTATAGAGAAGATGCGTTTCCTGACGTTCCTGTCCATGGCTTCTGACAACAAGGAGATCATGTTTGACACCATGGAGCAACAACTCAACCTCACAGCTGACGAAGTGGAGTCATTCCTCATCGATGGTGACTATTCTCAGCTTTCTGTAGTTGAAAAAGGCCCTGAAGTTTTATAGGGAATATGCTGTTTGTTTTGTATGTCAATCACAGTCAAGAATCTATCATTTCACGTCTTTTAAAATTTAATATTTGGGTTGAAGGTTGGAAAAATTGTAAGTAACAGTTTATCTTCCATTTTGATCAGACAAATTTGCAAAGGGAAGCAAAATGACACGAAAAATACTACACTTACCACAAAATACTTAGTAAAGTGCAAGATGCAAGTTTAGCCTTACTGCATATGTGATCTACATGTATGATACTGCTATGTTACAATGTATTGAGTTCTAATTACATGTACTAGCTAATAGATATAGCTATGGGACTGAGTCAATCATCTAAGGAACAAACAAAAAGTGGTCACACTAGCCAAGTAGTCCTTATGTACAGGTTAAATCTAGTTACTATGGCAGATTAATGATGTTGTTGTCTTTGTAGTGTGTCTGGAAGACCTAATGGTATTTCTTGTCCCCAGTTGTGCGGACTCAGCTGGTGCAGGCGTCCATTGACCAGATCCAGCGTAAGGTGGTTATCCGCTGGTCTCAGCATCGCACGTTTGGCCGGCAGCAGTGGCAGCAGCTACGGGACATGCTGGAGCGATGGAGGGAAAACCTGGGCACGGTCCGGAACAACCTCCAACAACTCACACCAACCTCGTAGAATAAATACAGCATACATGGGACGGAAGGGGGTTAAGATGTGTAAAACAAGTGATATTGGTACAGCCCTTTTTACACCAGGCCGTACCACGGCTACAGATGAAGGAAAAATGACTGTTTTGTGAAAAAAGTCTGCACCATTTCTACCTGATTAACATTACAGGGGTCTAGCCAGCACCTGTTTTTCGGTCAATTTACTTTGTGGCATGTAACTGAAAAACTTTTGAACCAATCTTCATAGACAGGATTAAGACAAAAATCTTGGGTAAAAATATAAAAACATCCAAAGGACCAACAACAACCACTCTTAACCCGATGATTTGCCTCTCAAGATGTGGGAAATTACATTTTATAGGCTTAAAAATCCAAAATTGGCCCCTCGAACCCCCCTAGATAGCGAGCACTCTCCCCCCAGGTCAGGTCAGATCAGCAAGCTGGCTAGAGCCCTGCAACAATTTTTCCAAATCTCTTCAGCACTGTTTGAAAAACTTTCTGTCCATTAGACCCATCAGCTTCTGTTTTCTTTTGAAACACCATTTATTAAGTTCAATAGAGATATGAAAATATCTATACCCACTAACATGCTTACTACTAGATCCAACACTTTCTGGATAGTATTGAAATGTGGTAAGCATCCTTGTTTTACAGAAAATATAACTGACAAATACTGTACACATATTTAGACTACTGTATTTGTATCGTATTCCGACAGCACAATTCTCAAGTAGCTGCAGATTAAAAATGTTCATTAAAACTTATGAATGTATTGGCTATGAATTGGTTTAAATCATTCAGGTTTGTGTTTGAACCATGTTGATAGGAATTCTTTGCTGTGAAACCAATGATGGACAGAAATAATGCTACTGGTAACTAAATATCTGTGTTTTGTTGTGAAGACGACCATGTTTTCTACATTTAGTCATGTTGATGAAGGTTAGACATCCAGGTTAAACAATATTCAAAGAAAATTCAAACTCTTCTACGACGGATGTCACTCGAAACATCCAGAAGTTATCTCTGTTATTTATCCAGTAGGAGAGCTTGAATTGTCTTGGAATAGGTTTCCTAGCCGTTCATGGCAGCATCACAGAATATTGAAGAAATATTAAAACCACAGCATTTCATTTAGTCTTGATTTTCCTAGATGTCGACGTAGAGAGATGTTTCTTTTTGGGGTCCAGATGGATTAGCAGTAGATAGAATTGTCGGAGGCAAGTAATTGGTCGATTGGAGTTTAACTAATTGCAAATTAAATGGCTATCAATAATCTATGTCCATATTTTAACATCAGTTGATGTTATGGTCTTTCAAATGACATGATGGCTAAGACCCCTAACATGAAGAAAATACGACCGAATTCGGTATGTCCTACTCCTACGGTACCATACCCCATCTTGTAGAACCGTAACTGTAGTACCACTAACGGTCGCAATGAGGACATTTTGCAATCTAACCGACCGTTTGAATAGTTTCAAATCATTACTTGTGGAAGGCTAACAGTATATTATTTTGTGTCCAAAAAGTACCATTTATTCTGAGAATGATTGATACCACAAGTTTCATTTAAATGTCGGTATAAACTCAAAATAGAGACAGTGTGTGTGTTTATAGGCGATTTTTCAGCATAAACTTTGCAGGTCTATAAACCTAGAATCGTTGTGGGAGAGCATTGTCATTGAAGGCACAAAAGTACAAAGTGTATCAATGCTTATATATTTTGAATGCCGAGCTCGAAAGAAGATGACACATGGCATCGATGTCGGGAATTCTTGTATTCGGTTTTTGAAGAAACTTAGGGTTTGGGATTCCTTCTAGAATACCTTGTCATTAAATGTATTAATTTGAAATGGTGAAACAATGGTCAATACAAAGATTTTTCACAGTATAAGTCAACTCTATAACAGTACATTTGTCAACATGCACGTCAGTATTCATACATGCCAGGGTACTCCCGTTTGCTGGGCTGAAATGGGTTATGATGCGTGCTTGTTTCTGGGTACTACACAAAGGCATTGGACACCAACACTCGCCTGCACAAACAAAATATACAGTATCAACTGATCTAAGACTGTCCGTGGTATTGGTAACAACACGTATGCATGTCAGAGCAGTCTTCTTAACTTTTTAATTCAATGCTCGACTGCGCTAAAATTCAGGAAACAATCTCGCGCAAAGTTGTATGAGGTAGAGCTCTGGCGTGCGTCAAAATATAGACAGAACGAGGCAGGAGCAAACATGGCGTATCGGGTAAAATGTCTTGATCTGAACTAAAAGTGAAACATTGGAAACTTTCACAAAATGACTCAACCCTGTGATAATACATCTGTCGGCGAAAGATACAAACACACGTCTGGAAAAACAAAATGTATCACTATATATGTCATTATACAGGTATTCAGGACAAGGACGTCAGCCTACTTAAGCCTATGATGTATGCTTGACTGCACTAATTCAGGAAACAAAATCTCACCCAAGCCCACAAGAGGTAAAGCCGTTCAGTATAAGTTGTCAAGATATAGAAGAAACGAGACAGGACTAAACAGCACGGTAAGAGGCATTGATCTGAATTGGTGGAACATTGGAAATGTCGTAGGGGCAATGTGACTTTCAACAAGATGTGGCCCACAATTTCAATGTGGCCCAGAATTTTGCAACTGACGTTCTCTTATTCAGGCCATGAAAATTGAATGGTTGGCTCGAGTGATGAGATAACATGTGTTTCGGGAAGTTCTCTTCTATAGTGTCACACTCCACTGAACGAAAAGTTTCGTCCTACAAATACTCTAAAAGTGACTCAAAAGAATAACATTTTGTCCTTGATACCTCAAAACACGACGCAAGGCATTCGTACTCCCGTTTACTGGGCTGAAATGGGTTAATATGTCTGCTTCCTAGAGTCTGGATACTTTGCGAAGGCCTTAGACACGTGCACCAACACATGCCTGGAAAAACGTAAATAGGGCAATTGATCAGGAAACAATCTCACTCAAAGTTGTATGAGGTAGAGCTCAAGCGTGTGTCAAAATTTGACAGAACGAGGCAGGAGCAAACATGGCGTATCAGGTAAAATGTCCGATCGGATCTGAACTAAAAGTGAAACATTGGAAAGAAATTTTCAGAAAATGACTCAACCCTGTGATAGTACATTTGTCGGCAGAGGCCTTATAGATACCAACACACGCCTGGACAAACAAAATATATCACTTGGTCATTATACAGGTATGCACGCCAATGGCGTCATCCTACTACTAAAGACTATATATGCTTGACTGCACTAATTGAGGAAACAAAATCTCACCCAAGCCCACAAGAGGTAAAGCCGTCCTGTGTAAGTTGTCAGAATATAGACGAAACGAGACAGAATTTAACGGCACGTGACAGGTAAGAGGCATTGATCTGAATTGGTGGAATATTGGAAAGGTCGATACATGATGAGTCACAAAAGGAGTCAATTAATTCTATGGCTACATTTGTCGTAATGAGTTTGTTTTCGACCCATTCACACAGTACCACTCACTGTCGCCTTGAGGAGATTTTGTAATCCAACCGACTGGCAGATGGTTGAAATCATTACCTATGGAAGGTTAACAAAGGGGTTTGTATTATTTATAATGCAACTTTGACACCCATTGAATCTTATGTAAAGACCAGATTAAGGAATATTACCTTTAAAAATGACAAAAATGTGTCATTCTGTGTCCAAAGACTACTACAACATTCTGAGAATGATAATTGGTACGACAAAGAATATGTTGTATTCAAGATAGACGTCGATATAAAATTGTCGACAGTGTGCGCGTATAGGAGATTTTCCGCGCAAGATTGTCATTACGTACGTATCAAAAGATCTGTAAACCTGGTGCATGTCGTCATTGCGAGAGAGCATTGTCATTGAAGGCACAGAAGTACGTACAAAGTGTATCACCTCATCTCACCTCACCAGTTCCATAGCTGTCACTCGTCAGCCGTAGGGGAAATGTGGCATTCAACAAGATGTGACCCACATTTTCAATTTGGCTAACAATTTCAATGTGGCCCAGAATTTTGCAACTGACGTTCTCTTATTCAGGCCATGGAAATTGAATGGTTGGCTCGAGTGATGAGATAACGTGTGTCGGGAAGTTCTCTTTGATAGTGTCACACTCCACAGAACGAAACGTTTCGTCCTACAAATACTCTAAAAGTGACTCAAAAGAATAACAACATTTTGTCCTTGATACCTCAAAACACGACGCAAGGCATTCGTACTACCGTTTACTGGGCTGACATGGCTGAAATGGGTTAATATGCCTGCTTCCTTGAGTGGATACTTTGCGAAGGCCTTAGACACGTGCACCAACACACGCCTGGAAAAACGTAAACAAGGCAATTGATCAGGAAACAATCTCACGCAAAGTTGTATGAGGTAGAGCACAAACGAGGCAGGAGCAAACGTGGCGTAGCAGGTAAAATGTCTTGATCTGAACTAAAAGTGAAACATTGTAAAGAAATTTTTCAGAAAATGTCTCAACCTAGTGATAGTACATTTGTCCGCATAGGCCTTATAGATACCAACACACTCCTGGACAAACAAAATATGCCACTTGGTCATTATACAGGTATGCACGCCAAGAATGTCAGCCTATATATGCTTGACTGCACTAATTGAGGAAACAAAATCTCACCCAAGCCCACAAGAGGTAAAGCCGTCCTGTGTAAGTTGTCAGAATATAGACGAAACGAGACAGAATTTAACGGCACGTGACAGGTAAGAGGCATTGATCTGAATTGGTGGGATATTGGAAAGGTCGATACATGATGAGTCACAAAAGGAGTCAATTAATTCTATGGCTACATTTGTCGTAATGAGTTTGTTTTCGACCCATTCACACAGTACCACTCGCTATCGCCTTGAGGAGATTTTGTAATCCAACCGACTGGCAGATGGTTGAAATCATTACCTATGGAAGGTTAACAAAGGGGTTTGTATTATTCATAATGCAACTTTGATACCCATTGAATCTTATGTAAAGACCAGATTTAGGAATATTACCTTTAAAAATGACAAAATGCGTCATTCTGTGTCCAAAGACTACTATAATGTTCAGAGAATGATAATTGGTGCGCCAAAGAAGGTGTTGTATTCAAGATGTCGATATAAAATCACAATACAGACAGTGTGAGCGTATAGGAAGATTTCCGCACAAGATTGTCATTACGTACGTATCAACAGATCTGTAAACCTGGTGCATGTCGTCATTGCGAGAGAGCATTGTCATTGAAGGCACAGAAGTACGGTACAAAGTGTATCACCTCATCTCACCTCACCAGTTCCATAGCTGTCACTCGTCAGCCGTAGGGGAAATGTGGCATTCAACAAGATGTGACCCACATTTTCAATTTGGCTAACAATTTCAATGTGGCCCAGAATTTTGCAACTGACGTTCTCTTATTCAGGCCATGGAAATTGAATGATTGGTTTGAGTGATGAGATAAACATAACATGGGTGTCGGGAAGGTTTTCTTCGATAGTGTCACACTCCGCTGAACGAAACGTTTCGTCCTAAAAATACTCCAAAAGTGACTCAAAAGAATAATAACATTTTGTCTTTGATACTATGATACTACAAAACACGACGCAAGGCATTCGTACTCCTATAGCTGTGCTGAAATGCCTGCTTCCTAGAGTCTGGATATTTTCACCAATTGCAACACACGCATATTTTGCGAAGGCCTTATTAGGCACCGATTGTATCACACGCCTGCATGCACGAACATAAAGGTCAATTGATCTAAGGCTGCCCGTGGTTGTTAAGAAGGTATGCAGCAAAGGGTACCAGACAACTGAAGTAAATGCTTGACTGGACTAATTCGGGAAACAAAATCTGAAGGTTTTGAGGTGAGCTCGAGTCAGTGTTTGTTTACGTATAGACGGTACGGGACAGGATCAAACGGTTCGTATATCACACGTTCTTCCTCCAACTTCATATCTTATGCCCCTGGTAGTGTGATTAAGCACCTCCAGGGGTAATTTAGCGCTGTAAGAAGCAGAGTGGTATCATAACGCCTATTTGTGTTTTGTTGTTAACAGCCGGCCACCATGGCCATGGCCCGCGCTAGGACGTCTTGCCTGTTGGTATGTTTGCTCGCTGTCCTGACCCGAGGTGTGACTGCCCTTGACTGCGCACCCCAATGCCGATGTTACGGTACCACTGTCGACTGCAGTCACGGAACCCTCACAGAATTTCCGCGGAATCAACTCATACCAACTTCAACAGAAGTTCTCCTGTTGAATGACAATCAGTTGTCAGAAGTGAGGCGTGACCCTCAGCTTCCCAACCTACTGGAACTGAGCCTGGAAGATAACTCCATCACTGCCCTGACACGCAATCCATTCATTTATCAGCCCAACCTCCAGATTCTCCGGTTAGGAGGAAACGCGATCTCCGATCTTCCCGCTTCGGCTTTCAACGGGCTGAGCCAACTTGTGAGACTTTACCTGAATAAAAACACCATCACAACAATAACTGCGTTTGGAAGCAATTCTGTCGTCAACAGACTGAAGATGCTCGACTTACAGGACAACAAACTCACCTCCATCAGCATCGGGACGTTCACAGGAGTCTCACTTCTTACGGAGCTCAACCTTTCATCTAATAACATCTCAGCGATAGAAGACGGGAGCTTCAGTCATCTCAAGGAGCTACGTGTCCTGTACCTACATTCAAATCACATCGGCATGTTGAACAGCGCGACCTTCGTGGGGATGTCAGCCTTAACTCGTCTGACTTTGAGCAACAACAAGATCCAGAGTCTACCTGACGTGGCCTTCATCGGCGCCCCAAACCTGGAGTTTCTGGACCTGTCATTAAACGACCTCTCCACAATCACACAGCAAGCGTTTTCAGGACTGTACAATCTTACCACGCTGCTTCTGGGTAATAACAAAATCAGCTCTATCGAGGACTGGGCGTTTGGTGACCTGGTCAAGATGCAGTCATTGGTCCTGATAAACAATTTTCTACAGAACATGTCAGCAGCAACTTTCACGTCTACGGAAGTATGGGTGAGCCTGTTTGTTTGTATTAAATTTTTCGTTTTAACTAGAAAGGTAACATTTGCAAAGCAAATGCATAATATTTACTTTCACATGGTCTAGCTTAACAAACTGCTGCTTTGTTCATGTTTACTCTAACGCATTCATATCTATAGCTACATTGTATGGTGAACAGCCCCTCCAACTCTTCTTCATCTTTGCCGGAGCTCAAAGATGTTATGTGAGCCCC